TCCTTGATGTCATCCCACAGGTCTTATGGTCTTTGTACATTAGTGTCTAATGCACCAAATCTGTTCTTGAGATAGTCTATAAATTCAGGTGGGATATGTTAACATCAAATCCATATTAAATGCAGAAAACAGTTCTGTAGAGTTTGTCAAACTAATCCTCAGAATGCTGAAAATCATTGTACTACTACTGTACTATTTTTGTTGTTGTTAAGTGTCCTCTAGTAAGTTCTGACTCATAGTGACTTTGTATATGGTTTCCAAGGAGTGACTGGTGGGTTTGAACCACTAACCTTGCTATTAGCCATCCAGTGCTTATCCTACAGTACCACACCAGGACTCCACTGTAGTGTAGATATGATAAGTAATAAAACTTTTTGTGGATTAATTCCGGGTTAGATTTTTTGCAATACTAGTTTGATTATTTGTTCCTTAAGAAAACTATTTCAATTAAATGTTTCTGTCAATTGTATTTTTTATGTTTGTAGATTTGCAGTACCGTGTCACACTAGATTCACTAAGACAGATATCACGAAGTTTTTTCTCTGGAACTCAAGAAAGAAAGATTCAAAGAAACATCACAGTTCGAGACTCAGAATGCACTAAGCACTCCTTCTACATGTTGGCAAGTAAATCATGTATTATAGCTGCCTTATTCCAAATCAATATTAAAGTTGTTGTTGTTGTTGTTGTTTTTAAGTGTTTTCCAGTCAGTTCTATGGAGTGGTTGATGGGTTTAATCCACCAACCTTGTGGTTAGCAGTCCATTGCTTATCTTACATCACACCAGAACTCCGTACAGTTATCTTATTTCAAGCCATTCAAGTTCTTATTGTCTTATTCAAACTACACACCATAGAGTAAACTTTATTTTGTCAGTTCACTACCTTTAAAAAATCACAATTCTGATTTTCTTATTTCCAAATACATTTCATAAAACTCTCTTTAGCTTTTCTTATGATGTTTTCAGACATACTATGGAATAGCAAATGGCAAAGTTAAAGATAGACCTGTATTTATTCATTTGTTCTGCTAATTTGAATACAATCATTTAATGTTTATGAACCTCATCTGTGAAATGTGGATGTTAAATGGTAATTGCCCTGAAGGCAGACTACTTGGCTATTGCTTCCTGGGGTCTCTTCTTATTCCATGATCCTTGCTAAAAGAAAGTAATTCATTTAAAATTTTTGAAGTTCTTTTGGATTATAATGGATACTCTCAATATTTGCTTCTGGAGTCAGACAAACTTAGACTCATATGAAAGCTTTCCTGTATTCTGAATGACTCTGAAACTCATTTTCCCATCTGCAAAATTAAAACCATAATAGTTTTTCACCTAGGAGGGTTATTGAAGTGATTAGATGTAATATATGAGCTTTACATCAGTAAATGATAGCTGCTATTGATGATAATCTCTAAGTTTCAATCATATCCACATAGTCTATATCTATTTGTTGTTGTTAAGTGCCCTTAAGTGGGTTCTGACTTATAGTGACTCAGTAAAGGGTTTCCAAGGAGCAGCTGGTGGGTTTGAACTGCCAACTTCATAATTCACAGTCCAGTGGTGATCCCATAGTGCCACACCAGGAGTCCAGTCTATACATCACTTCACGTAAAATGCCTGCAGCTGTAACACTATATTACATTAATGAATTGCAACTCATTTCAAAGAACGCTTGCCTATCTGGAGTTGAGAGATTTTTCAAAAGTACAGCATAGTCATTTTTAGTTCCAGGACTCAAAAGAAATGATTTAGTTATGCAAGTAGCTCTGAGGGATATACCCTGATATGACAAAGTATGATATGACCCATGGTTCCAGCAGGGCCCTCTTAGGAGCATTAGGTGAGTCAGTTGGTCGTAATCTGAAGCCTCTGCATATCATCTGTTTCTTTTTCAGGGCCGAATGGCAGCCTCTATTCAGTGAGGCAAAAGCCTGATGAGGTCATATGTCAGCTTAGATGCACGAGAATGATCCAGGGGCAAAAAGAGAAAGTCCTAACAGTGTCAGAGCATGTATAATACATTTTATGTTTCAACCTTTAGGACAAGCATGACTTTCGGGACTCGGTGAGGATAACTTTGGATTTTAATCTTACTGATCCAGAAAATGGACCCGTTCTTGATGATGCTTTACCAAACTCAGTACATGAATATGTAAGTCCTTTTAAAGTTTTTATTGTGAGTTATGTGTTAGTTTACAGTTAGTTTACGTGGGTGAACATTATCTTTACACTCATCTTATCATATTTTGTTTCATTGCAATGATCACAATCCCCTGCATGCATCATCAAACACCCAAAGGGTACACCCCATGCACCTGCCCCCCGCTGCCAGCACACAACCCCTCTCCCTCCCTGTGTCCAGTCCCCAGCCGCTCCTTCTGTCCATGCCATTGCCTCTGCCTCCATCCCTAGTGTCACTGCCTCAGATTAAATAAAAAAGTTTTGGAATACCTATTTGTGAATGTTGTTGTTATGTGCTGTGGAGTCGATGCCGACTCATAGCTACCCTATACAGGGTTTCCAAGATTAAAAACACATGTACCTCCAAACCAATTACATGTAAAATAAAGAACAAAAACGATAAAACGATTAGATTTTTTTTACACTTTTCCCAATTCTCCTAACTTCATATTGTTGAAGTTTAAGGGAATTAATAAATGATACCCATTTTTACTTTATCCAAATTTATGGTGCACACAAAGAAAGATATAAACATCAAGCCAATGGAGATTCAAATCTCCCTTTATTATTAACAAAGATTGGTTGCAATGCATGGTTTAGGTATAGGTCAAAATTGAGTGTCCTCAGATTTAACCACAGACTTGAGCCACAGATAACCATTGAGGCCACTGGTGATGCAAATTAATTAATCATAAGCCTTCTTCATGGAGGTATAAAATTTACAGAATGTGATGCATGCTTCTTGGGGTCATATTGCCATCCCACGAACAGGAGAGATAGGAAGGAACTGAGCTGTGCTCACCCAGATTCTGCTTCTAAATTTGCAATCAGAGTCCACTACCTCATCTTTAAGAAAAAGTAAATTCTAAGTAGAAAAGGAGCCTGGTCACAAGGGTTGCATGGATAGAGGAAACATTAGGGATGGGAAATCAGTTCCCCACACACTTACCTTTGGCCCTCTCATCCTTCCTTCTAAAGATACTTATGGAGTGTCCTATACATATGAGTTATTGGAACTTACAATCCAGCCAGGAATGTTGCTGTTGATAGCTGGCATTTAGTCCACTCTGACTCATGGTAACCTTACGTCTAACAGATGAAGTGCTGCCTAACCCTGCATTATTGTCATGATGATCAACATATTTGAGTTTATCATTGTGTTTATCTTGTCAGTCCATCTCACCAAAGGTCTCCCTCTCCCAAATTGGCCCTCTATTTCACTAAACATTATGTTCTTCTCTAAAAATTGATCTTTTCTGATGATATGTCCAAACAAATGATTCAGATGTTGGTTTCTAACCCATCTGTCAGCTTGTCGTACTGTGACAGCTTTTGTATTGCCATGTTGCTGGAAGCTATGCTGCCTGTATTTCAGTCACCCAAGACAGACAGATTTCAGCGAAGCTTCCAGACGAAGGCATACCAGGAAGAATGCTAAAAATTATCCAATGAAAATTCTATGGAAAACCTAGGATGAAGCAGGTGTTAAATATTGACAGTCCAGTCGGTGCTATGGAGGAGAATTTTATAACTTTATGGAGCTTCTACCTAGTCAAGGAACACTACTCTAGTGTTAAGATAACTTAATTTGAAACTTGAAAGATGTGATAATTTTCTGTTGTATTTAGAGGAATTGGAAGAGTAGTGTTCCAGGAAAAGGGTTGTTATTGTTAATTGCCAATGAATAGGTTCTGACTCATAGCAACCCTGAATAGAGTTTCCAAGGAGTGGCTGGTGAGTTTGAACCACTGACCTTGTGGTTCAAACCAACCATTCAATCTAGTGCTTATCCTACAGAGCCACACCAGGACTCCAGGCTAAGGATAATGGGTAGTATGTGTGAAGGTCCTGAGGTATAAATGAAACTAAACTAAACTCATCAGTATGGCTGAGGCTAAACCTTTTGATTGAAATTCATTACATTCATAACTATTGGATTTTGATTATTTTTAATAGAAACATTCATAATTAAAGTTAAGTATTAACATGTTATCTGATATATTTAGAATTTGTTGTTAAGCGCTGTCGGGTTGTTTCCCAACTCTGTGAGCCTCCATAGGCTTTCTAAGGAATGACTTGTGGGTTTGAACCACTGACTTTGTGGTGAACAATGCTTGATTTGACTTTTGAAGGTTTTCTACATTGGCAAATTAAGGCTAGTAGAAAAAATTCTGTGAAAACTATGCAGCCTTAAAAGGTGTAGAAGGATGTATATCCAAAAGTAAAAGTTTTATTTTCTCTCCTATAAATTACCAAAACTAATATAAAACTCAGTAGGATCTCTGAAGTACTGAAATCTATGCTCTTTATGAATTGCTTAGCTGATTTTGGCAACATGTCCACTCTGCTATCAATATTAATAGGCAATTTTTTAATAATCCTTAACTAAATTTTGAAAACATAATTTTCTGTTTGTATTGCAGATACCCTTTGCCAAAGATTGTGGAAACAAGGAAAAATGTATCTCAGACCTTAGCCTACAAGTATCCACAACAGAAAAGGGTCTGCTGATTGTCAAGTCCCACAGTGATAAGTTCAACATCAGCCTAACCGTCAAAAATACAAAGGACAGTGCCTATAACACCAGAACTATCACACAGTATTCTCCAAACCTAATTTTCTCAGGAATTGAGGTAAACTTTTAGTTATTCAATCATTTATCCATCTTTTTCTAATGATCATATTTTAAACTACTTTTCATATGACTGAACTAAATGTTTTTATTATATGGATTTCACAAAGTAAGTACTCACTCGCGGTGAAAGCACCAAACTTTCTTTTAAGCTTTTGTCTTTTGTTTTATTTTTATTCTATATTTCTCCTTAGATTGAGTGTGAGAAACAATGGATGGCATACCAAATTGTATGCTTCACAGAGTTCATAAATGGTTGAAATTGAGACTGAGCTAAAGAAATTAGCCAAACCCCAAACAGTTTAACAGAGGTGTACAGAGAGAGGCACTGTTGAGCAGTATTAACATGCAGAGAAAGCAAAAACTCCGTTTTTCTCTTTTTATGCACAACACCATGGCTTGGGTCAGGTGCACCTTAGTCTTCAAGGTGACATTTTGCTCTTCAACACTTTAAAAAGGTCTCGTGCCGCAGATTTGCCTAATGCAACAGATCTGTGTTGGAAGAAGTGCAGCCAGAGTGCTCCTTGGAGGTCAGCATGGCCAGACTTCGTCTCTCATATTTCGGACATATTGTCAGGAGGGACCAGTCTCCAGAGAAGGATATCATGTTTGGTAGGGTGGAGGGTCAGAGAAAAAGAGGAAGACCCCCAACGAGATAGACTGGCAAAGTTGCAGCATCAGTGGGCTCAAGCGTGGCAATGATAGTGAGGTTGGTCCAGGATCGGACATTGTTTCATTCTGCTGTGCATAAGGTCGCTATGAGTTGGTACTGACTCGATGGCACCTTACAACAACAACAATGCAAAAGACATTGGCGATATGTGTCTTAAATGGATGCATCTTATTTATTTACAAAAGATTTTTGTTGTTCGGGCAATAGCACTTATTTGTGTAAGATATTTTGTCAGGCTTCAATAGCATTTCAAAATTCGAACTTTGCTTTATTCTGATATCCTAGTAAACCTCTTGATGCACTATTCCAAATGTATTTATATGAGTTAATTATATAAATGATTCAAATTGAGTCAGTATAGTTATTATATATCACAGTATATGTCATATGTGCAGTTGCTGTAAATTCAGAGTTGTCACTACAATTTTTTCTCTATTTATGAGGATATTACTTAGGGATATGATAACTAAAGTAGGCTTGCAAAAATGCTATATATTATTATCAAATATTTTTTATTTAACCAAGTATATTAACAAAATTTTCTCCCATGTTAAAAATCACTGCCTGCATGCTCCTTCCACTGACTAATGGCCAGGGCAGAAGCAGAGGTAGAAAATTCACTGTGCATTTCCTTTATTTTAATTAATAATAACAAAAACAAGGATAATTAGCTATGCTTGAGCTGGACTATATTCTAGGCAATATTCTGAAGGCTCCTCTTACTTAATCCCATTAATATTTTTGTAAGTAGTAATTACAAAGGTTCTAAAATAATCCTTTTGTCCATCTCTGTAATTATGTTAGAGGTATGATTTTTTTCTTACTTGTTAGGACATAATATAATGTTGTGTTTCACATTCAATGGTATCTTAAATTTAATGAATTATGGTAAGATTAGCCCTTGTTTTTGTTGATGTTAGGTGCCATCCAGTCAGAATCGACCTATAGCGATCTTATGCACAGCAGAATGAAACACTGCCCGTTCCTGGTGCAACCTCACTACTGTTGCCATGCTTGAGTCTAGCGATGCTGCCACTTGGCAAATCCATCCCTTTGGGGGTCTTCCCCTTTTTCTCCACCCTCCACCTTACCAAACATGATATCCTTCTCCAGTGACTGGTTCCTCCTGACACTATATTCGAAATATGAGAGATGAAGTTTGGCCATCTTGGCCTTCAAGGAACACTCTGGCTGCACTTCTTCCAAAATGGATTTATTGGTTCTTTTGGCAGCCCATGGCACTTTCAGTATTCTCCTCCAGCACCATAACTCAAAAGCATCAATTCT